TATTTCAAATCCATTTTGCTTGGCATATTTGCACTATTGTACCCAGTAGTCTGCTTGGTTGTTTGGAGTTGCTCTGAAGCTGTGAGGTGTGTTACACATACCTTACATTCCATACATGTGTTACACTTGGCTAAAGTGAGCAGAACCAAGCTGCAAGGCTAAGGGAAAAATAAAGCCAGCTAACTAGTTTGGAGAAGTATGATACTGGATATTCAGGGCTGAGCAGCCTGTCCACTTTCAGAGAATACCTTTGCATTGCTTTTTTGGAGTGCTTCTCAGTCTCTTTATTGCTCTAAAACATTGGAAGCTCCAGTGGTGTTAAGGAAGCATTTTTAACTTACTGGGACTATGCCAGTTTCTAGTCTGATGTTAGAAAAGTGATGTAAGAGTTATTTAGGGACGTAGCCTTGAATTTCTTACTGAGTTGGGAATGACCTGATTTACAGAAATAAATGATTTATTATGCATTGCTTAAATACTTGTGGCAGCTGTACTAAATATATATCAATAATATTGTTACAAATACTTGCTGTCCCTAGAAATAGTTCAGGTGAGTAAAAGAAATGAGGACATGAAAGGCTATAATTCTGTTTAATCTGTCTAAGTAGTAAGACTTCTTTGAGAATTTTTGCTATGTGGAATAATTTTCAGTTTTTTTCTTGGGGCTCAACATTTGCAAACTTGAGCATGTGTTTTGGTGTCGCCCTGAATTGCTACTTGCCCAATTTAGGATGCTCAAGTAAATTATCTTCTTTGTTATATTATTAATCTACACACTGAACACACCTTGCAGTCTGTGTTGGCAGCTTCTGCACTGTGTCTTAGTGTGATATAGCCCACACTTTGATACTCTTTATTTTTGTAAGTTGCTTGCTGAATCAACTTTCTAATTGCTATAAAAATCTAAGTTTTTTCTGATCTACAAATCTTATGTATATAAGTAACCTAAAAAGAAAGCCCTTAGCAATCACAATTTGGAAGTACATCTCCTGGCTCAGTAACATGAGTTTTTAGGTGGTAACCATTGTGAAACATTTGGATTCTCTTAGTTATAAAACAGAGGGATCAAGAGATAAAGGAACAGTGCAAACAAAATGGGTTTTGAATATTAAACATTCTGTGTTTCACTAAAATGCCAACTTTGTTCAGTGTTATTGGGTTGCAGGCATGAGAGTGCTGTGTATTTTGGAGTAGATGAGAAATTTTCTCCTGGGGAACTGATTTTTGTTAAAAAATGCTGATGTGATTCAGTTAAAACGCTCTGTGGGAATCCTGGCAGAAGTCTGATGGAATTGATAAACCCTCCTTGGTGCCTTCCTGCCGTGCTGGAGCTGGCAGGCACTCAGGGGCTGCACCATGCAGGGCTCCTGCTCCCCTCCCAGCCTCTGGGGCCACACACCCTCCCTCTGCCTGGGGCTGAGAAAAAAGCTCTTCCAAAACTCCTGCTTTGGAGTCAGCAGGAGTCTCTTAGCCAAGAAAAAAGAACGAGTTTTGGTTTTTCTCAAGACTGAGTTAGTCTCCAAATCACTGTTAAAACCAGTTTTTTCTTTACCTTCCCCATAATTTGGAGGTGAAAAGAAGCTGGGGGCAAAAGGAGGTTTCAGAGGGAATGCTTTGCAGGGTGAGATTTCTGCTTTACAGCAGGGACTGAAGGAGGGGGCTGAAGGGCTGCATGCACAGATGGTGATAGACCGTGCTGTACCAGTCTGGGAAAATGATTAATCAATACTACAGGGACTTATTCTAGCACTAAGTTCTTTTAATTTGGCCTTATGTTTCTCTGCTCAGGAGTTCTGTAAGAGAATGTTCTAAATGTGATGCTGATTCAGGATCATGATGGTTTTTGAAAGTAATAAAAACAGTTCTTCGGGTTTTAGCTGGATCTTGATGCAAATGGCAGTGAAGAGAACAAATGTTCTACCCATGTTTCTAATTGCAAGTTGCCTAAATATGGCTTGGATTTTAATGAAGGGGACTTGGGATAATAATACTGAGGAATAGCAAATGATAAGTGAGAAGGATGTTTAATGCACATTTTTCGTAGTCCTATTGCACTTGTGTTGCTATAGGTAACCGTTCTGCTACTTCCCAAATTTTGAGAGTTTGCATTTCCAACTTTACTGATCTCTTAAAAGAAACCCCGTAAATTCATAAATCTTGGTTTTGACAAAATTAAAAGGAAAAAAACCACACCATGTAATTAATTAGTAGCACTGGAACTTTGAGGTTCCTGATGCGTTTCTTTGCTTACTTATGAGTTACTGAAGGATGTCATCATCATTTATGGAGGATCAGTGCTAGAGGAAGGAAATGTTTTCCAGTGACCACAACACTGCTTATCTCTTCTTTAATGTTAATGCTTGACTTTTCTTCCTTGTCCTGTTCCACTCCCTCACACAGGTCAAGATTTTACTCACCTGGGTTCTTTTAATACTTGGCTCTGTTGGAGTTTTCTGCCTAAGCTAGAACCTCTTTCTATTCTCTGCTGACTTATATTGCTGCTCTTAGGCACTTCCTTCCCCTGATGTTCCTTGTCCAAAAAGTCACTTTTTCTCCCAGTCACAGCCTGAAAGCTTCCTGTTCAGGATATACTCCCAGTACTGGCAGACAGTTCTCCCTGCAAGGTGGTTCATCACATCTTTTTTTTTTTCTGCCTCAGCTCTTCAGTCTGTCCTCCCTCTGTCTCGTTTATTTGATTCCCACCAATCTGATCATCATTTCCCTCTCCCAGTATACACCTGCTTTGCCTGCATGTTCAGTTCTTAAAGTTTCTCCTGACCCTCCCATTTCCCCCTCATGCCCAGCCTCTTTCCTGGCTCTTTTCATTCCCCTTTTTGTCCCCATCATCTGTCTGCCACCTGTATTTGCAGTATTCCAGTTTGTTCTGCCGCTGTGGGTGTCAGTGGTGAAGTGACTGAGTTGCTGGAAAGGTGGACCTGGATTGTCTGTGGGGACTCAGTCCAGCAGGAGCCATACTGAGAGGAAAAATAGCCTTGAGCCAAGGAACACTTGATTTCTCCATTGAAATGGCTCATGATTGGATCTAATGTGTGTGGGAGGTTGGAGCACACCTGAAATCCTCAGAGATTTTAGTCAGATTCTTAAAAATATTTACTCTATTTGCATATATATATGTTGGAGGCACAAAGAAGGATACTGAGGGGACAGATGGGTTCTTTTAGGGATCTTTGGCAGAATGATGATGGCACTAAATCATAGGGACAATTAAAGAGTCATTTTCTTAACAGGATATTATGATTAGTATAGCACAGAATTTATTATTAGAATGGCACATGAGTTCTACAAGCAGAATCAATATTGTGCAATTTATAAGTAACATAATACAGAATTTATAATGCGACTTCACTTATTTCTAATCACCTTTGCAGATCAAGACAAATCTTTAATACATGTTTTGTTGTATCAATAAAACAATCATAATTTAGACTCAACATTTGTATGAAAGAATATGAGTCACACCCTCCATCCTTGGAGAAAGGAGTTCCTTACTGAGGAGTTACTTAGAGTAATAAAAAGATGCATTAAAAAAGAATGTCATGTGTAAACCAAAGTAATCTAAGGCTGAATATCAAGATTGTAGTGTGCTATAGGATGGGGGGTTTTTTTAAGGAATTAAAAAAAAATCTCTTTTTTTAAATGTTTGTGTTGACCAGATGAAATGCACAAATATCCTGTAAAAAGGTGCTCTCATGTTAATGAGAGGAAGATGGTGAAGCAAAATATTCCTTTAATTTGTGTCTTCTGAAAGCACTTAAGTTTGAGTTCTAGAAATGCAATATATAGTGTAACCTTAAGTGGTGTTCACAAAGCTACTTGAAGCAGGCTGCTGCTCTGCACTGTCATGCTTAAGTAGGACATAGAGCCCCTAAATACCCATGGAAATTTAAACACAGGGAACAAAAACTAGGCTCTGATCCAAAGCCAGTTGAAGCTGATTAAAAGACTGCTCTGGCTTAAGCCACTTGCAAGCTAGATTTGAGTTTCAGGTGTTCAGACAGACTTGTCAGGTCTAAGTTTGTGGTTCTTTCTTCTGATTTGTGTTTGAGGTACTATCCATGATTATAGGAGATATTCCAGTGTGTACAGTGCCTGAAGCCTTACATATTTTCACTCATGAGCTCTAAAAATAGCTAGTAGATAATATTCAATACCTTAACTACACTTAATCACCAGATCATGTATTCTTCGTTTTTATGGCTTGACACTCTTAAGTCACAGGTATACCTAGAGATGATCTACTTACTTATATAAGATATGCCTAGAATTAGAATAGAGGTAAGGAAAATACCTTTACATAGTATGCAGTTCTTGATTTGGCTAGTTTCAAGTGCTCCTCCATTCTTCCCATTCTGTTAGTTACCTAAACTTTTCAAGCCAGGAAACAGAAGAGAGCAATATGTTTTTCATATAAGACATATCTGTGGAGTTACAAATATAGGTTAAAGTGAGAGGTGATGGTCTGCCTGACTCAGATAACTGTTTTGTTTCACTTGTTTGCATGCTTATATTCTGTTTTAGAAATAGAAAATAAAATATTTACATTTTATAGTAATGTTTTTTTGAGTGCAGTCCAAGTTAGTTCCTTCACTTAATTTCACTTGGCATGTTTCCCCACTTATGTTCAGGCCAGCCTGTAAAATTAAAGCTGTATGTACTTCTTAGCTATCTGTGTGCTGTCTCCAGTTTCTTCCAATTGAGAGAGTTGAAAATTCACTTTTGGAGTTGAATGAAGATTATGTTCCAAATGTTAATAGAAGTGTAGAGCTTGTTGTCTCTTCTAGCTGAGCCCTTTTTTTCATATACAATTCAGCAATAAAATTTTCCTTGGTACAAGAAAGGTTTTGGAAAACTCTGACCTACAATTCTGTAAAGCATCCTGAAGAGTGGGTTTTAGTACTTGAAGGTCAAAATGTTTGCATCGGTTTAGGGGGATAAATTGGGAATTGTTTTAACTCCTTTTTTTCGTATTTGACCTCTAGGTTCCAGCAAGATGTGGGGTGACAGTCCGAGACAGCCTAAAAAAAGCTCTGATGATGAGAGGTCTTATTCCAGAATGCTGTGCTGTTTACAGAATACAGGACGGGTATGGTTTGTGTGGGATGCATTTGTGCTCTTAGAATCTCTTATTGGAGTTACCCAGGATGGCCAGATCTATCCAGAAGTTGTTTACAGAGTTCAGAATTTTATGATACTTTGCACTAAATAATTTGCACGTTGCAGACGTGTTGAAAAGAATGTCTAACTCCTAGGAAGAGGCTCAGGCATAATATTGGGTAATATGAGATTATGGCAGAATACTCATTAATCAAGCTCATGCTAACCAAAGAAGTATTAAGTAGTTTATGGTAACTTCTTGTTTTTGCTTCATTTGGCTATAATGAATTCTTAACTAAAGACAGAATTGCCTTGGGAAGGAAAAAACAAGTTTTCAGCCCTAAAAATTTGTGTATTATCTTCATGTACACAATTAGCTAACTCTGTGGAACTTTTGCACAACAGGTACCTTCACAAACACTTTATTTGATCAAAAAGCCATCTGCCATGTAGGAAACAAGGAACTGGCTACTACTGGAGCTGGTTGAAAAAGTGCATTTCCTTCCTGCAGTTTGTCCAGGGAAGGTGTGCTTTGTTTGCTGTGTACTGAGCCTAAGGTCTTGCCTCTCAAGTTTCCTGCAATTAGACTGGGTAGCAACCCCCCCACAGTGTAACTTTTGAGCTGATCTCACAACTTTGGCAAGGGACATGCAAGGGCTTGTGTGCTGATGCTAATGGGAGGCTTATTTGCACTTTAGAGAGAAGAAGCCAATTGGCTGGGACACAGACATTTCCTGGCTCACGGGAGAGGAGTTGCATGTGGAAGTTTTGGAGAATGTGCCACTCACGACACACAATTTCGTATGTACTGGGTTTTGTGAGATGCTGAGTGGGGTTACATCAACTCTGTACTTTCAAATTCAAATTGCCAACTTGGAATATTTTGTATCTGTGGGATGTGGTGGGAGTTGCAAAAGAAGTTTTTAATCACAGTAGCTTAAGTGAATTAGATAGAATTGTATTTGAAATAAGTGATGCTAGAGTACTTGATCACCCTTAAAACTTTCATGTTTTGTTGGAATACACCCTCTAAAAATCTATAAATGTAGGGGGTTTATATCAGCACTGCATTGCAGAGCTGCAATAATAATCTACTATTTTTGTATTGCTGTATCTATAAAATGTATTCTGGGCCTCCCTGCTGGCTCTGCAGCAGCAATTAACTAATGAACTAACTATTCCCAGAGCAGTGCTGACATCATCAGTGATGCAGTGCACAAATATGTTTTGACCTGATAAGGCACCAAGTAAATGGAAGCTGCTAAACAGAATCTGTCTAAATGTTTCCAGCTACATACAAAATCCTGGTAATAATGTTTGTCAGATTGGGAAGCAAGACCTTCTATTTTAGCTTAAAACATAGCAGAAGTCTCTCTGCAAACTGATTCAATCTATTTAACTCAAACAAGTTATTTGGGTTATGGCTAGTTAGGTGAACTCTAGTAGGCTTAACGTTTTTTATATCTCTCTGAAACGCTGATTATTACATGTAATAATAAAAATAAGGTGTTTTTATGGTAGGTATTGCTAAGTTTGAAAATTAACTAAATCATTTCCCCCTTATAATTTGGGAAGAGTGCACCATCACCTTTCTGTGATTCTGAAAGTTTCTGAGTTTGAGTAGTCAAAATTACAACTGTATGTGTAACTATACATTGAAGTCCTGTATGTAAATATGCCAGTGTGTATTTCCAGTCCTGTGATTATTAGCAAGAAATGTTCTTTGGCTTCTGGAAAAGTTAGAATATGAAATATTTCAGCAGCTTTTGTTTTTATAGGTTGTATCCAAATAAATTCTCAACGTTTGTGTTTAGAATGATAATAGTGAAGTTTTGCTTCAGATTTTTTGCTCTTATTCTTACTGCTGGTGAGGTGAAGCATTAATTCCAAAAAACAGCTGAAAGAAAGTTTTAATGCATGAAAACTGTTTCAAAGGGGAGAGGATCTTGTGTGTCAATCTGTTTGATACATACAATTGTAGGTAACTGTGACTATTTTTGCCAATGTAGGTACGAAAAACGTTCTTCACGTTAGCGTTCTGCGACTTCTGTCGGAAGCTGCTTTTCCAGGGATTCCGCTGCCAGACTTGTGGCTACAAATTTCACCAGCGCTGTAGTACAGAAGTGCCACTCATGTGTGTCAATTATGACCAACTTGAGTAAGTAATCACAGCTGATTCTCGAGTTGAGCCTTTTAATAAGTATACTGTCAGTGATGTCTTGTGTTAAAGCTGTAATGCAGGAAGTCAGAGGAGAGATGCCTGAAAAAAAAAAAATAGGAGCTCAACTGTTCTTGTGAGACTGCTTAATTCATATTCTTCTGTGCTAGCTCAGACAACCAGTTCGTATTTCTTTGCTGGTCTATGAAGTGCTTTTTTTGAAGCATGAGTAAGGTTGCTGAGCACTTGACTATATCAGACAGACTCCTCATTGTTCACAGTTATTACTAATCAAAACTGGTTCTTTATTGTGTGATTGCTAGGGCCCCGTTTATAATTTAGCTGTGGGTTTATTCTCTTTAACCTGAAAAAAACATTAAGAGGCACTAGTTGATTATAGTGAAATTGCAGTTAGTTTTACAATAATTGAAAATAAATCTGCTGGCAAGATTAATGCCTAGGTAAGAAACATAAAAGAGAATGACCCAAACAGTCCAGTGTTCTTGGATTGAGTTATTGATCTATTTGTGTAAGTCTTTGATGTAGATTTAGGATCTGGTGTAAACTGGCTCTGTTCTATTTGATTAGTTTCAGCAGAGGCTATTAAGTCTTTTAAGTAGTTTTTTGTATAAGGAATAATTTAAAATGCTGTTTTTCTCCTCAAGAATGAGTTTAATTTCAGTTTATTTTGATATTTATAACTGTTTCCATTGGCATCTCTGGAGTTTGTGCTCAAGGTGTAAGTTTATGTACTGATAGATAGACGGTGTGCATTCTTGAAGAACCAGATGTTTGCAATTCCAGCTAAAAGATGAAAAAATTAATTCCACAGAGTTTTTATTTAAAGCATGATCTCTTGATCCTTTGTGAAGTAAATAATACTTTTAACCAATCTTAAAGGTTTAATGTGTTAGTGTGATTTTATTTGCAAATTTAGACTTTAATCAAGGAGGGTTTTGGGATTTGGGGTCTTTTTTCTAGTTTTCTAGTATTATATTGTGAAACTTCTGGGTTTTGCACAAGTTAGGTTGTTTTTGTTTTGTTCTTGCCTCACAGTTTGCTGTTTGTCTCCAAGTTCTTTGAACATCACCCCATACCACCAGAGGAGGCCTCCTTAGGAGAGACCACCCCAGCATCTGGATCATACCCCTCAGTGCCCCCCTCAGATTCCGTTGGGTATGAACTTATTCCTGCTGTTTAATAATGTAATATTTCAGTACTATGCTAAGAAACACTCAAAATACTGCTGTGCACCTCTGCATTGTTGTAATCTGGCTTCTCATGCAAGTATATCCACCTATGCTTAAATTAAAAGAAGTCAATGTCTTCATTCCACAAATTCTGTAAATTAGTAACAAGCCTAGGTTAAATGTGTGTGTAACTGTAGAATTGGGGCATGACCTGTTAAACTGATGTCTTCTACATGTTACCTTAGACCTGGTCTAAACTGGAAAGATTTTATTCTTAAAATTAATAGAAACCAAAATTATGTCCTCACAAATACTTTTAGTTGGTTATCAAATCAGAATTGATATGCTTTGAAGTGACATGCCTCAGTTTCAGAATAAATCACATTACTATAAGGCTGATGTGAACAGGTGCCAGTTCCAGGTTCATTATACTGCTTTAGTATCCTCCAGGCCAGCTGCCTTCTTCCTGTTCATGTTGGAGTATACCAATAGTATTTGTTTGCTGCAGCTCCAGGTTTTGTAAAAGTAGAGCTCTAAAACTGACCATCCCTCAGTATTTCCAGCCAAGATTCTGGGCCCTTTCTCCATGAAGAGATAAGAGACCATATTTAAATTATGGTAGCAAAGAGATTAATGACACCACCCACCATTAGGTAGTGGAACAAATGTCCAGGGAACAGAAACTCAGGGATGTGTATCACACTCAAGAAATCTGGTGCATATTTATTAAGAACACCAAATACAGAAGCCTTCAGAAAACCATTCCCAGGACCTGTGTGCTGTGTGGAGTTGAACTGAATGTGGCAGAGAAGCTCTCTTGGATTAGTGAAAATTGTGCTTAAACTAAAGCAGAAACACACTGGAAGCTACACAGGCATCTCTGGACTCTTAACTAGAAGATAAATTCTCTGGACAGACAAGGCTATCTTATGGAAGACCAAATAAAATACCTCCTAGGAAAATATATCGACAGTCCTGCAGAGGGAACCTCACTTGGTAAGTACAGAGATTATGTTCTTACTTGTTCTATTTTGTGCAGATGCAAGTGAATTCAAAAGTGCTTCTTCAAGGCAGTGAATGTTGCCTTTAGATCCCATGGATATTAATACAGCAGATTGTGGGCAAGGCCACTTGTCAAGTATTTGTCATGGTACAGCCAAAATAATAACTGGACTAGAACTATTAATTCATGAAGAAACTTGTTTGTACCAATTGTTAAACTCTAGTGGATGTTAAAGGCACTATACAGCCCTAATCCTAATATTTTAAATTGTCTTGCTTTTCAATTGCCTTTGCCTCACATTGATCCCTTCTTACCAGCTTGTGAGGTTACAACAATATGGATTATCTTGATACATGCACTATTTCAGGCATTCTTAGTTATGTGAAGTGAAAACAGAAAGGAAAAAATTGAGACCAAAGCTGGTTAATGCCTTGAGATCTTTAACTTCACATACATAACAACATTAACATTTAAATATACTTACTCAAGCTTTTTAGGTAAGTATATTTAAATGTTAAGTATATTTATTTTTTGAGCTTTTCTCAAGTGTTGCATTTATAAATGTTTGTAATTGTAGAAGATGTGAAAGGTTTCTAGCTTTCTCCTTTCCCACTTTTTTGCTTTGTTTTACACTTTATTGTTAAAAACAAGTTATGCATCATGCCTGAAAAATTCTGTTCATTTTGAAAATGGCTTATGATTATAAGCTGGTGTTCATATGTAATACACATGTTAGTCATACAATGTTCCCCTGACATCTGTGTAAGTAGCATTTCCTTTCCAGAAGTAGCTCAGGTATTACTGGGTGAACATATAGTAGCACTGTCCATACCTTTTTCTAGTTACCTTTCTTGCCCTTCTCTAATAGTACTTCTCTGCTTTTTAAGAACATAATTGTGGAAATGTTAATCTAGCTGAATTTTAAAAGCTGGTCTTTTCTATAAAAAAAATGTACTCACCTGTGGTTTTGTTAAAGAGAACTGCTACAATATGGGGCAGCAGCTCAACTGGAATTAAAAAGGCTGACATTTGAGCTTATCTTGTCTGGGAGGAGAATATGGGATTGAAATTTGAGAGCTGAACAATGAGATGGAAAATATGAGGAATTAGTGCTTTTAATAATGCTTCCTAGATTAATAATTGTTCCTTTGATTTCTCTGTTCTCCTAGCATCTTGCATGGAAGAGCTCACAGAGGAAGGGATGTTACTATTCATTTGTTAAACCTGAGGAAAGACAAGACAAACATCCTCCTTCATCTCTAGCCTTGTGAAGGGATCCCAGCAGCAGGCAAAGTGCCCAAAAGAAAGAAGTTCGTGTTGCAAGACAAGTTTGAGAGCAAAGGCGTGTGTGACATGCTGAGACACTGTCAAGGGAGCAGATGGAAATGTTTGAAAGAGAAAGGCACATCAAGGAAAATACCATTGGACATGATGCAAAAGCTGCTAAACATGCTGGAGAACTGTTTCACTTTGCTCCTGTGTAACATCCTAAAGCCATCCAGGCCTGCAGCCTTTCATTCTTCCAACTGTGAACCAAAGGCAGTCCCTCCAGGTTTTCCACCCCTAGATGAGGGAACACACATTGTCCCATTTCACATTTCTGGACCCCTGATAAAATTGTGTCTCGCCTCCACATTAGGTTTTATGTCCCATTTTAATTCTTTCTGTCCTGTTGTGCCAAAACAACCATTTCAGTTACCATCTGCAGTTAACTGGAAAGTATAGGTCTCCCTGCTAAGAGCCATTTGTAATAAAATTGAAGTAAGGAAACTCTATATCATACATTGTATTTGTTTTGTTCATTGCACTGTCATGAAGTTTCTTCTCCACCTTGGCTGGTAAAATATGAGCCAGAATTTCTGTGAACCCAGTTCCCTCAGTCTCAGATACATGAAAAAGAGAGAAATAAGCAAGTTGGCAACATCTTGGCTCTTTGAAAAACAACATTTCCCAATATGCTTTGTCTTCTAAGTTAGAGGAAGAAAAGGGGAATGTCTGGTGCACTGTTCTTGGAGGCTTGCCAGTCCTTGCCTTTGAGCAGACTCCAGCTTGTGATTAAACACCTCTGTTTTCCTTTCTTGTCTTCCAAATGTTCACTTCCAAATGTTCAATGATCATTCTGATTCAGCTGAAGATACTTGAATGTCTAGAAAAACTTCAGAAAAGCCAAGGAAGCAAAGATAGTTTTAGATTATTACATTTTATGCTACATTACCATTTAGATCCTGTCGTGTGTAAGCAAAAGTTTTGTGTTTTAATTTATAAAACAATGAACTTTTCCCCTGAAAGTTCTGGCACCAGACCTCTTCCAGGTTTCTCCATGTAAATGTTCCTACAATGTACAAGTTGAGTTGATATGCATTCTTGCTTTGCAAAGGAAGTTTGATATCAAAATCAGAAAACTGTTAGTCCATAAAACAGGTGAGAGAAACCTCTTGCTCTCCAAAACTTTATTTGCAAAAACCTGCTAGTGATCTGGACCTGGTTTGGAGGACTAACAGTGGCAGTATATTTCTCTTGATAACCCCTGGTATATGAAGCTATTGGCAATTTTAGGCTCATCAGCTTTGATCTGGGCCCAAAGGCCATTATAAATGAGTGCACACCTTTGTGATAAACCTGGCAGTTGTTTTTCACCTACAAGCCAATATGGATGAAAAGAAGTTGTCATGGTATAAAAAACTGCACTAATTTGTGTGGGGTAATGACTGTTACAGCTGTGTCCCATGATGCTGCTAGGCTGCCTTCACAGGGTGCTGCAAGAAAGTTTTGCAGCTTGTAGTTACAAATTGATGCTGCTGTCCTTTTCTCGAAATTGGCATTTGATTTGGGATTACTGAATATTTCCAGGCTGCAGGGATGGGGAAAGAGAAAAATTACTGTTTTCTGGTGATGTCCATGGAGTACCACAATAATTAAATCAGAACCTATTTGGTCTTCACAATTTAAATTTACCTGCTTGCTGCTGTAGCTGAAATACCATTGTGTCCCAGATCCTTAACAGTCCTTAGAAATTGCTTGGAACTGGAAGTGCACTGTGTTCTTCATTAACAGCAGTAACAACAACCAAATCCAGTCTAGTGTTAACACTCTGGTGTAAACAAAAAAAAAAAATCAAGAAAAAAGCCTTGATAGGCATTTTAGCAGCCTTAAGGTCAATAGTGTGTATAACACTGAGCCCAGTGGCTAAACTGAGATGGACTTATTCAGGCTGTGAGGAGGAGAAAGAAAATCTCTTCCTCAGAAGCTGTAGTTTTAAAAACAAACTGGTACATACCTTATAATTGAAGCTAGGTGAATGTGAATTTTCAGTTCAAGCATTTGCTCAATTACAGCAAAATAAAAATGCAGTCAAAAACTTGAAGCCCAAATACACCTGTCATAAGAAAAATTTCAAGAAAAATCTTTCCTGCATAGACCAGCTCTTAAACACTTGTGAAACATCACATTGGTGAGTAAAGGCCATTAAGGAAAATCTGTATTAAAATTATCTTTTGCATTTGTAAAATGAACTAATTTATATCATTGCAAGTTCTAAAATCCAATAGATATACTGTATATGATTTTATGAAATTTGTCTGTTTATATATAGCATAATATGTTTATATATAGCATAACACTTTTCTGAGTTACCTTACTCTTCCTGTGGGCTCAGTTTTGTGGAATAGTAAGTGTGTGAACACATGGGCACTTGCTGTGCTTGGTAAAGGGTATAAAAATTTTATATCTTATCAGTTATTCTTGTTTCTTGATAAAACATCTTTCTATTTTGCCTGATAAAAAGGGGGGGAATGATGTGCTAATCTCAAACATATGGTCCAAGGTAAAAGCATGTTCTGTCATGATGCCAGGAAAGGTTAGATTGAGATTTGACAACTATGCACTTGTTGCCTCAGAAGTAGAGAGTGATTTGTTAAAAGAATGCCCACATCTAGGAGCTGGGAGCAAGTGATTTGTCTGCTTACTTGCAGATCTGCTTTAGCAAGGTGGCAAAGGCCACAGGAACAACAGAAACTCAGATCCTAATATTCAAACTGCATGTTCCTTTAAGCCTCAGCCTGTTACTTTTTGAGGGTGGGGGTTGGTTTTTTGTTTAAGAGTTTTTTGTGTGTTTCGTTTGTTTGGGGGTATTTTTGTTTGTTTGTTTTGTGGGGGGTTTTTTGTTAGTTTGTTTGTTTGTTTTTTCACTGTATTTTGTCAGCACTATGCTTCCATAGCCTAAGAACTAGTTTTGGAGCTGGCTTGGTATAGACAATGTCACCCTTTTCCAAATTATGATATCTGTCTCTTTTAGCTGCAGTGTCACTCCTACTCTTCTCGAGTAATTACAATGTAGGAATACTGTAGGAATGGCCTTTTGGTAGCTGAGAAGATCACTGTGTTCTTTGTGGTGATGTGTTTTTGATAGAACAAGATCTCGATGCAGATCAAGATCCAGCTTTTGTCACACACACAGGCAGAAGCTGGTGGCTGTGTTTTCTGAAATTGTGATCTCAGTAGGCTGTCTTAGCTAGCAAACCCCTTATCTCTTTTACTTCACTAGTTACTTTTTTCCAGAAACATTTCCATTTAGCAGAAATAACCTCCTTTTTTTCCAAGCGTCTCAAGGACACACCCATAAATAAAATCATAATGGAGCATGTGGCACACTGCTTTTGAGGTTCCTATCTCTGGATTCTTTATTGTCTAAAGCCCAGAGATCCTCCAAGTAATAGCTTAGAGACTCGGAAAAAAAAGAAAAAAAAATATCAGGCTGCAATTATTTTCTAAAGATCTGGACTTATCCCAGTAAGAATTTAATGGATAGAAAAAGGTGTTGAAGTTGTTTTCAAACATGGTATGCCATAGCATGCTATCTGTGTTAGCAGCATGATGGACATGATGACCTGTGACCAGAAGAACAGAAGTAGCAGATGACCATTTATGACTCAAAGGAGGATGTAATTGAAACAATATTGCTTCAATCTGGTTTTCTGTCCCTTGGCTTACTCATGATCACAGAATATCTGATTGCTTCTGTTGTTGTCATGTGGCAGAGCTCAGATGGTGTGTCACAGTCCTGGTGCAATGTTCTGATGGATGTTGTGATATATTTCCCTTAATTTCCTTATTACCTGAGAACTCTCAGGAAGTTTAAGCAGGAGTTAGCTATCCCAGCAATGACAGTACTGGTCTGGTTGGGACACATTTTAGACTTCTGATGCTTTTTTTTTGTGCAGCACTTGACATGCTTGCCTTAACATGAAAATAGAGTGCCTTTAAATGTCAGTCAGGTCCTACATTTGGATTTGAGGTGTCCCATCTCCTGATTTGTGTTCTAGTTGCTTGATTTACTTACAAAAACATTCAGGAGTTCAAAGCTTCCTGATTTACAGTATTTTACCTGAAGGTGCTTGGGTAGCAGTGAATGAGAATTTCAGCTTTGTGTATGTACAACAACTGCATTTTAAAGAATGGTTCTGGAATTATAAACAGCTTCTGAAATGCTGGGTTTTTCAAGGCCCTTGCTCAGAGATTTGACTATTGGTATTTTTAGTTTATTGCTTCCCAATATCTTCCCAAAATCTATATTCTATCATGTAACAGTAGTTACCTCATTTTTGGGTTTTTTTTAAAGTTAAGCAGGATTAAATTCCCTGCCTCTTCTCTGCTGCCCCACTTCCCAAATTTACTCAGGTGTTTCATTGGAAGACTTACTAGACTGTTACTTGGATGAATTCACAGGCGCTTTGTTTTTGCCATTTTCAATTGTGAGATTGTTGGCCAGGAAGGAAAAGACGACAGGTACTTAGGATACAGATAGCACTGAGTTCTGGGAGCAGTGCCAAACTGGAGAAACTTTTTAATGAAAGGTAGGATAGTAGGCTGTAAAGCAGACCTGTTTCTGACAAAATGCCAAGATGTCCTGTTGAAAATGTTAAGTTTCCCCAAAGGTTTCTGAGGAGGCCATGGAGCATTGCTTACAGGAGGTGGCATCAGGACCTATTGCTGCTTTATGCTGCTGTCTGTTTTATTTCTGAAGCTTCTCCCTGTGGACATTGTCTTTGTGGGCATAATAATTAATCCATGAGTCACTGAATGGCTGGAGGACTCCACTCCTCTTTCAGAACTAACAAAAAGAAACCAACTCTTAAAAACCTTGTTGTCAGATACAGTGTATATTTTAACATAAAGTTTTCTTTAGCCTTTTGCCTTATATCCATTAGATTGAATCATTAGGATTAACAGTGGCTGACCTTGACAAGAGTAAGAGATAATTGCCAGTTTATTGCACTTTAGCAAAATTAATGGATAACCAAAGAAGTGACTTTCTGCCTTTTTACAGACAAAAAACCCTAAGTGTTTAGTTGTTTTGTCTTTTGAATTTTCAATTCATTATACCATAATTAAAGACTTTATCTACATTTATGACTGGCAGCATTTGCATTTCTTCAGGAAGTTTGTGTATTCTGAACACTTATCTTTTCAGTCAAACCTATTGTATTGTAGCACTGTAAATAACATTTGAAATGTTGTGCTCTTGAAAGTTGTTTCTTAAAGGTTGAGGTTAAAAGGTGATATGCTTATTTTTAGTATCACTAATACATTGGGCATGCTATTTTTAGTATCAATGATACATTATTAATAATCAATTAGGTTGAATGACCAGGTGTAATTTTCACTTGTTCTTTGCTGAAAAATAATCCCATCCATACATTTGGTTTTATGACATTTTCTGACTGTAACATTAATGAGATGTTAAGCATTTTTAGTTCTCAATTGGTCACCATTAGAATGAGTGTATTGCGTTGGCTCAGGGCTGAGGAAACTGCAGAGTATCTCCCTATCTGCAATGCATGTTGGGCAGCATGAGCTTTTCACATCAGGATTTATTAATGCTAGTTTAGTATGGTATGGTTTTCTTTGTTTTAACTCAGAAAACTTCACAGCCATGTGATTAGGTAGTTGATGAGACAGAGTTGTTGCAATTGATCATAGGGGAGTAGAGACAATTCATTATAAATTGTTTTTATTCAGGGCTTTAGATCAGTGTTTTTGTTATGCATTATTATAGTTGAAAAGGACTTACCACACCCACTATGCAGTGTTTATAGCCATTTGTAGACCTAAATCCTCTTTTTCCTTGACTTTGTTTCTCAGACCACCAATTCTCCCTAGTCCTTCTCCTTCAAAATCCATTCCAATCCCACAGCCCCTCCGACCAGCAGATGAAGACCATCGAAATCAATTTGGGCAACGCGACCGATCCTCTTCAGCTCCCAACGTGCACATCAATACAATCGAACCAGTCAATATTGATGTGAGTATTGCTGACAGCTACATCAGCAATAGTAGATTGGATGTGTTCCTTGTCAATAGCAGTGTGGTCAATTCGTTGTGTAAACACAAGTGCTCTGTTTCTAAGGGAATCCTCAGTGGTCTGTCAGAATCTTCAAGGATCATTCGTTTTCATTTTTTTTCATAGATTTTTTTTTTTCTGTTGAGAGCTGTAAGAACACAAGTAATCCATTCTCCAAGTGGAGAACTGCCTTTTGAAAGACCTTTTGCATTTTCAAAGAAACATTCTGCCCCAAACAACTGCCTTTTTTTTCTGTCATTAGTCCCAAGGCTCATGCTGTTAGCAGAAGCCAGTAACCACTCTTGCAAGCACTTCTGTGTTAAACACGTTGTTATACAAGATAGAGACCTTTTAGTATTTGTATTCCAAGTAATATTTTTGGTATTGAAGGAAACTAAATAATTTCATTAAGCTGAGTTCACATATTCTGATAGTTCCTTAAGAGTTTAAAACTCCAGTATATGTTGTTCCAAGCATTCCTTTGGAGTGTTCAGAAACTGCTACACTTAAGGGTTTTTCCACAATTTTGAAATCTCTGGATGGTGAAATGTAACTAATAATAGTGCTTGGTATTACCATGAGGACAGTTAGGACCTTTCAAGATGTTGCCTTTTGCTATTTTTGCTAACACACACAGTTTGTATTTTGCCCTTAAGTCCGCTCTCTAGAAATTAGTCATTTGTCAGGTGAGCAGTCTTGAAATCTGCCTGGACACTGAGGCACAAGATCTGTTTTGCATGTGAGCTGAGGGAAAGGTGAAATGTTAATTTTAAGAGTGTGGCTACATAGGCATTTGCATGTGGTGCAGCTGAGGTATAGCCAGTGCTTTTGGCAAAGCATAGGTGTGTAAGGGAACAAATATAATTATGGAACAAGAAAGGGAATCAATATAATAGTGTAACCAAAAAAAAGCTTTATTATAAAAATGGACACACTGAGGAAGCTGCTAGAATTTTCTACTTCTGTTTATAAAATCCTTAGTGTAGTTTGCTTTTAGTCTGGACATGTTGCAAAAGACTCCCAGCTCACAGAGGATTGCAAGTGAAGAAAGCCTTCTGCAGTTACAAAGTTCTGAGAAGAACAGCATGCCTGGCTATGCAAATCTGGTGTGTTGTTACGAGAAAAAACAAAGCAGGATTCATTTGACTGATGTACCTCAGTACAGGAAATTGGTGTCCCAGGTTCTGATATGACAATTTAAATTATTTGTGCTACTGTAACAGAACATTTGATGCACTATTTCTTGCTATGTTTTGACCAACTGCATTTTTAAATCAATATTTTCTTGTCAGCATCTCTTTTGGGTGGTGTACATTTCACTTTACTACAGAGAGATGCTGTTGTAAAGCAACTTAATTTTGAGAAGTGTAGCAGTTCTTTGGAGTCATTGCTATTACTAAGTCAGCGTAGGAAACAACTTTTATTTCATGGACAGCATATCACACTACAAATTCTCACACTTATCAGTCTCAATTGATTCCAGAATGTAAATGTGAATACCTAAATTAAACACAACTTTTTAATTTTTTATAGGACTTGATTAGAGACCAGAGTTTACGTGGCGAGGGAGGTAAGTAGCATTTAAACTAACTACTGTGTTACATTCAATTACACAACTGCCTTGTCCCTTCCTGTTACTCTACTTCCTTCTACAAAACACAGCCACAATGCAAAATATGACTAGAACAAAAAAGTGAATTTACATTTGCTTGTCCATGAACTTAGTATTTGTTTCACAAAGATTTGAGTCATTTGCTGGTCATTCTGGGAGTGGGGGAGACAGAAGGAGAAAAAGTTTTCAAGTAGTATCTAGTTTTTTTAGTTTTAAAATTATTTTGCACTTTCACTTTTTTACACTCTCTCACACACACACTTATTCACTCACATGGCTGCACACAGATACACTACAACTTCCCAAAGATTTTTATACCTGTTGTGACCTTTTCAACCATGGAAACAACAGGGATTTTCAAAGAAAACCATCGTGGTAGATGAGCCTTCCATGTGAACTGCTGCATCCTAAAGCAGCTTAAAGTACTCCAGTTCTTCTCCCCCTCTACCCCTGCTGAAGTTGCTGCTTTGCTGTACTGCATGCCTGTGCTACTCTTGGAAGCAGATTATTGGGATCTTACACTAAAGCCAGGTCTTTTTATGTTTCCTTCAGTAACTCACTGCCCTAATTCACAGTTAAGTCAGAACTATTGCCAGGAGGTTTATTTTTCTTCAGGAATTGTGCACAGGCCTCTTAAGTCACTTCTCCCACTGGTTGCCAAGGTCCTAAAGAGGGCTGCTTATGTGCTGCATTTATTCCTATGAATATAAGAATAAAGCAGAAATATTGAAAATAGAGAAATACTAAGTATGGCAGGCATATGACAGTTTTTCCAACTCCAAATCAGTAGCACAGTTGTCTCCTATTAATTATAACTTGCTTCAGCCATAAGTATGAGTCTGAATTGCCATAATGCAACCTTTTCCTGATCTCAGAGGTTTTGTGCTGTGGGCTTTCACTGACTGTTTCTCCCATGCAAATCTGGTATTTGGTAGGTTGTGTTGTGTTTGATGGAGCTGTCTTTAATAATGGCAGCAATAGGCACTTTTAAAAAAGAAATTTCCTTTAACCCTGCAAGCTACTAATTGCAAGCTGTCAGTTTTAGCTATTTTTGTATGTGTTGATAGATGTGGCTCTCCAGAGTTTTGCCCATTTTGTCCAACATTTAAATGTTGTGCAATCATGTTGGTTTTAACTTTTGATCATAAACTGTCTGCTTGGCATCTGAAAACAATTGGCTATTTCCAGTCCTGAAATAGTGTTCTTGGGAATTGACTTTTTTTTTTTTTTTTTCCTTCAAAGTACAGAAACAATCTATGATTAGGAGTCAAAGCATCCTAGTTATTTCCCATGACTTCTTTCATTTCTTCTGTGTGTGTCTGTCTTTCTGTCTCTGCCTGCCCGTCTCTTTCTCTCTAACAGCCCCTTTGAACCAGCTGATGCGCTGTCTTCGGAAATACCAATCCCGGACTCCCAGTCCCCTCCTTCATTCTGTCCCCAGTGAAATAGTGTTTGATTTTGAGCCTGGCCCAGTGTTCAGAGGTAGTTGGGCTCTTCTTTCTTGTTTTCACCCAAACAAAATAAGTAAAACCACAGATGCTGTTTGTGCCTCACCCTCACACCGTGTGTATGTAAGTGTGTGAGTTTATCAGAACACCTCTGTTTTTTTGCTTGGCCTGGCTGGAATGCTTTGAATGTGCTTTTCACACATACTCACTTTCACCTTTACACGCTTAAAAATTATTATGAATGAAGTCTGACTTAAATCTTCAGAAGCAAGGAATTTCATAGTTGAGGTTTTTCTGCAGACCTTAACATAATTTTTCTAAACAAAGGGCATTGGATTGCATTGCAGTGATCTTAAAGATAAAACTATGTCCTTAACTTAGAATTTCCTTGACTGTTCAGTTTAAGTCAGTTCAGTGCTATAAGAGTCTTCTATATTTAATGGTTTTTGTTTTGAAAAGTGATGTAGGAAATCAAATGTGAATTGCAAACATTTCCATTGATATCTTGCTAGGTCTCAAGTTTTTCAAGTAATGTGTTATGTCAGCTTTCAACAAATACTTCATTTTGACAATGTGCTATTGACACCACATCGGGGCTCTAGATGGTTTTAGTGGTTTTTATTCAGTTAGTAAATTTGACTGAAACAGTATTTTTGTCCTGTACTATGTAAAATAAGACACTTAGATTTTCATGTCATTGACCATAGGGGTAATTCGGGCCTTAAGCTGTCAATGGATCTGTTGTATTGCACAAAATCCCTAAAAAAAACTCTGTGGGATTCCATATGCTGGAGAAACCAACTATTGAGTAATAGCATGAAATGTTTGTACTTGTGTCTCTACATAATACATGTAGAAATGGTTAGTCCAGTGCATGTAGTGTGGTTTTCAAATGCTACCATCTTGGCTGTTTCAAAGACTTTTGTTTCAGAATATATCAAGAGCAGTTCACCTTTTGAACTTGTAAAGATCTTCCAGAAGTCTTTGTAAGAAGACAGGTGTTCCCAACAAGCAAACTGGCTACAGAATGAAATACGTTATGTACAGCTTCAAAGTCCAAGCTATTGACTTAAATCCAGCATTATCTGAAGTATTCTACTCTAATAACTTGGAAAACAGGCCATCTGGTATTATTATGAACAGATTAACTACAGTGTTCTGCCATGTGCTGGAAGCATTTTTGGTGAAGGGTGACTATTGTGCTAGTATTCCTATATTGCAGGATTAAAATTTGAAGAGGAGATTTTAGTTACCTCAAAGAAAATACATCCCAGATCTTTGCTATTGCAGAGGAAATTTGTAGCCCAGTAAACTTTAGGAAAATGCTTATGTTCTGGGAACACCATACATTTAATTCCATGTATGTTTGATTTCAGATGAATCATATAATAAATAAATGACAGTGTAGTGGCCATAACATGAACACAAGTCCATCCTTCAGGTCGCTGTTTTCCAGCTGCCTATAAATGTAGTTAGGATGCCCCATATGCATCGTTATTGCTGCTTTAGGATGTAGGACAGAGTTTACAGGTGCTGTGTCCTATTTTGTCTCTGTTGGTGTGTTACTTTGTGCATCCACTTCCAAGAGTATAGATTTTAGCTGACTGATTCCAGTGATGGATACATACAGTCTGATAAATTAGCATGCACTGAGTGACTGAACTTAAGCAACACTTCTAAGTCAAAAAGTCAGTTTTTGAACTCTAGTTGCCATTAGGAGACACTTTTTGCTTAAGAGGATGTGAGGAGGAGTATTGTCATCCACCACTTCCCAGAACACAGATGTGAGAGAAGGCAGTGGAATGTTAGAGGTCTTGTTCAATGACATACATTGTTTAACAAAGCAGCATGAATTTAATTAACAGTTGACCCTATTTTATGTCCTTTGCATTGGAAGGGTCAGCATAACCTTGTTAGGAATAATTGTGATGTGTTTTAAAAAGCAGAGTCTAGGTGAAATGCTCTATTTGAAAAGGGCCACTGGGGCTCTGAAACAGCTCTCTTAGTAACATTTTCCTGCATAGATTTGTTTAGATAACCTACAGGCTACAGACATACTGTTCTTTTTGTATTCCCTAGAATATGCTTCAAATAGCTAACTAAAGTACTTTTTCTTTTTTAATCCTTTCTAAAATCTAATATTTATTTTAAAATAATAATTCTCTGCTAACAGATAGCTTTAAAACAGCCAAATGATTTTCAGGTGGCACTTGGAGACTCAACTATTTTAAAACATTTTAAATTATTTGCATTTAGTCTATTTTGATTCCAAAGTACAGTAGTTTAGCTATTTGTTGGGTTCCTAAAAGCTTAGCTACAAGAAATACCAGAGGTAGATGCTCTAACTAAAGTGCTACTGTTCTTCTCAAAGAAACTGATAGAATTTAAGAAATACCTTAAAGTATTCTTTTCTTACTTAAAAAGGCATTGTCCTTTTTTTAGTTCATGAACAAGAGACTGGAGACCATCTATACAGGGATGTTTGCTATAGACTTGTCTCTTCCTGAAATCTGAGACTTGAGCACTAATCTAATATTAGGACAATATTCCTGTATATGTTTGTTCTCTCAACATTCACATTGATGTTTAGAGATACTGCATCTTAAACACAATTCTTGCACCTATTATCAATGCATTCTTGTTAGCTGGATTCTTACAGATAAAACTATCCTATTTCTGAAATTTAGGCTCAGCTGCAGGCTTGTCTGCAACACCTCCTGCTTCTTTGCCCGGGTCACTAACCAATGTGAAAGCGTTACAGAAATCACCAGGACCCCAACGGGAAAGGAAATCATCCTCATCCTCAGAAGACAGAAATAGAATGGTAAGGGGAAGATCAGCTCTTTTCTTTTGTACAACTATTACACAATCATATTCCTCTCACTTTTCTTTCATCCAAGTTTTCGAAATTATTTTGAAGGTGAATATGGCAGTGATCTAGGACTTGAAGCTGGTAAATAATAGAGTGGGATAACCACTTTAAACCAGTAATTAATTGTGGGACTTATAAATAATTTAAATAATTGATTAAACTCACTTTTAGTGGTGTCTCATATTGTAATGCCACTTTCCCTTCATATAACAGCTTAACTTCTCCCACATGTTTCATAAACTTTGAAAGTAATGAATGTACATAACAAATTTTTATGTAACAATACATGAAAACATAAAAACATCCACTTTTTTTTTAAATTCACAGTTTAGTATTATGATTGAGAATTTAAAATCAAATGCTACTTTCTTTTTGTTAAGTGTTTCTTAATATTTTCTGGTTTTAACACTGCCAAAAAGCTGTTGCAAATGTTTCATGCCAGGTAATAATTTGGCATATCTGTGTCCTGAGGCTTCTTGTGGGGCTAACTTTAAAAGTCAAAGGACGACTCTTGGCAAAGAGCATATTTTTAGGACATTAATAATGGGAAATGCTGATGAGAAATTTTTAACAAAGGAGCTGTTTTCAAAGACATTAATGCACTCATTTTTTTCCTTTTTATTGTTTTTGCACATATATAAAGAAAACTCTTGGTCGACGGGATTCAAGTGATGATTGGGAGATACCAGATGGACAGATCACAGTTGGACAAAGGATAGGATCTGGATCATTTGGAACAGTCTACAAAGGAAAGTGGCATGGTATGTGGCCACGATGGCAAACAGCAGTTCCTGAGGAGGTCACAGTGGCAGCCAAGGCACACCCAGCTGGGCACAAACACACCTGGGGTTCAGGCTGAGCAGGAGCCAGCACTGTGCCCATGCCACAGGCAGGGAGGATGGGCTGCAGTGGCCATTGCCAACAGCTTAAGGGCACTGTGAGGCCACACCTGGAATGCTGGGCCCAGTTCTGGCCTCTTCAGAACAAGAGACTTGTGGGCATAATGGGGAGAGTGCAGTTCTCAACTCGTGCATGTTCTTCTGAACTGAGAAATTATTAGGGTAAAGATGAAACATTAGAAAGGCAGAAGTATCCATCTTGATGAATGAGGATTTCAAATGTGGATTTTTAATAGCTTTGGCCTGGCTATGATTTCTCAGAGTCAAGTAAGAATAGTATTTCTACAGTTTACCCAATATTGACTTATTTTAAAATTGTAGTGATTTATTTCACGTAAGCTAAAAAAAAAACAGTATCTCAAAATTTCTACTTCTCTGTCTAGCATTTTCTAGCATTTTCTCAAGAGAGGAATATGTATCAATGGCACTTACTAAAAATTGTTGTTTTGAAGGTGATGTGGCAGTGAAAATGCTGAATGTTACGGCACCCACACCTCAACAGTTACAGGCTTTCAAAAATGAAGTAGGAGTGCTCAGGTAAGAATATTTTTAATGGCATGAAATAATGTGTGTAGATTAGTGCTTCATTAATCACTGAATTTTAAATCTCCATTGGATCACATTGGTCTCACTCCTACATGATGATACTCCAGGCAGAAAAAAATAACCATTTAAAAATATTTTTGTACCCATTGTATGTGTTTGTCTGCACACCTATGTTGTCAATACACATATGTCTAAACACTCAGAACTACTTTTGCTAATGTACTACCCCAAGGGCACAGTCAAGCCTAAGTGTGAGCTGTTTGCCTTTCTTTCCTCAGTCACATTTTGAAATTGAAGGAGAACATGACTAAATGGTTTTTCAGCTACAGTCCTACCTATATTATCTGTTGTTTGATAGTTTCTGTTCAGTAACATTAATTTTTCTGAAGCTTTTTTTTTAAATGTAATTCTCATAAAGTCACTTAATTTCCTCTTCACATGTCTACTGCTTCTACTATCTCAGAGGAGGTATTTGGTTTGGGTTCAGCTCTTAAGAGACGATCCATCAGCATGATAGGATAGAATGTATATTGTGAAGAAATGTTACATCAAAGTACAGTCTTGAGCAGTGTCCAGCATAATTCTGTTGTAAGAAACAAAATAGCAAGGAGGTTTTTTTGTCCATGGAAACCTGATGTGTTGAGCTGGGCACCTATGCTGCAGAAGCATCCCAAATAAGCTATGTGGTGTAAGGGAACAAAAAAGCCTTTTGCCCTAGGCAAATGTTAGTTGCCAAAACTCTGAGCTCATAGTTGTGGATGTAGGGGCTTTCTGGGGTGTGCTACTTCGGTATTTCTCCATTTTCTTGATAGAATTTTGACAGAACTTGATGAAATCGAACATCTTAGTCCAGCTTTCTGCTGGTAGTCCCATAGGTGGAGCCCAGGCTGTTTGTTTCAGAACATACATAATCACTTGTTCTATCCTTTGATTCAGACAAGGCAGATTTACCTATAGTTGTGCCTTCTCCAATATGATTCCTCATTACTTAGATTTGTGGTAGGATTTACAAGAAACTGCTTATTTTTGTTTCCTCAGCAGTTACTCTCAGCATCACTTGACAAAATCTTAAACCTGAAAAGTCACAGTCACATAGCATAGAACTGTCCTAGTCCATATTGCTGCAAGGAAAGAGACTCACATGCTGGGATCCCGTGTAAATTTTTTAATATAAGAAAACATAAGAGCTCTGACATTTTTCACTTACCCCAGAGTAGTTATTCCATGTTAGTATGATGAGAAAAGCTAACTTGAGGAATAATTCATTAAATTAATCTAGGAAGAGGTTATCATGCTATCATAGTAAAAGTTGAGATTACCCCAACACCTTCTGTTTATATGTAAAGTGTGATAGATCTGCCTGGGTTTTCCTGATTTCTTGATCTGATTTCCTCCTGATTCTTATTTTTTTGTAAACAGGAAAACACGGCATGTGAATATCCTGCTTTTCATGGGTTACTCAACAAAACCCCAGTTGGCTATTGTTACACAATGGTGTGAAGGGTCCAGTTTGTATCACCATCTACACATCATTGAGACCAAATTTGAAATGATCAAGCTAATTGATATTGCACGACAGACTGCACAAGGCATGGAGTAAGTAGTGAATGACTTGTCTGCAAATGAGCACTGGGGCAATGTTTACTTATCCCCTTCACACTCTGGGTGTCATTGGCAAATAAGGCCAGCTCTCTGCTCACTGGGCTGAGCCCAGGGTCCTGTCTCAATCATCAAAGCATTTGGGGAAAGTATCAGAGCTCTCTGAATAGCAGGTTTCAGCATCTGAAGAGAATACACCTGTTTTGTTCTAAGGATTGTAAATAATCCTTACTCCCATAGAGGGCCATTGAGTTAGAATTTACCAAACTAGCCAAATACTGTGTGTCAAAATCAGAACACTGCTGTAAGACCAGAGAAATTGCACCTCAACTTAAAAGCCACTATGATGATTGCAGTTCATTGTGCCTTTTTTCTACTCAGTATTCCATTACATTTTCAGTCAGGAGGCGTGGAGGTGTTTGCAGCAAGCAGCCTTAGCCTTCTGTTAGCCTGTGCATCTCCCCAGGCTCCATCTGTAGGTAGGGGAGATGCAGAAGCTGTTTTGTGAACACGATTCAAAGCAGAGACACAAATTGGGGCTTTTCCAGCACTTTTGTGCCAATCTCATTGACTAAACAAAGAGCCATGGGAGACTTATTCAGACTGTATCTGCTGTGGCACAAGTACTTTCCTCTGTGTTCCCTGCCATCTGTTTATCCAGGCTGCAATCAGGGGATCTTTTTTCCACTCCTCTACTAAAAAGCAGTCAGTGTACCCGAGTACACATTGAGACTGGGAAGCACATTTAGCTCCTGCAATTTAGAAACACCTTATCTAAAGCTGTGACTAGCTCACAAAATCTTGACAGTCCCCATTAAGGCTAGGAGGCAGAACTTTCAGCATGAAATTGCATGAAATAAGTTACTGAAGTTCTTTTTACTGTGAATGTTGAGCTAGAATTGAAAAGCAGAAGTCGGAGCATAATTGTTATTCATTAGCATTGTATCAAAATTGTCATTCAGTAGCATCAGATTTGAGCTGGAAATCTAAGCTTTATTTTGTTTTTCCTGTGAATGTTGTTGAAACAGTCATGGGTAACTGAAGTTTTACTGCCTGCATAAATGTGCAGTTTCAATGTCGACAGAATTTATCTTTCAGTAGTACAATGAATTTTGAGTTGTTGATTGGTGAAATATTATCTAACCCACCTAATGTGTTATATTCCTTTTCAGTTATTTGCATGCCAAGTCAATCATCCACAGAGACCTCAAGAGTAATAGTATCCTTTCCCAGAGATGTAATTTTGGAAACTGAAAGCATTCCTGTTGGGTTTTTTTTCTCTGCCAGAAATTAACTTACTGATGTGAAAAGCTGTTCATGTGTGAATATTTGCCAAATAGAAATTTCACTGAGAAAGGGAAATATCATTAATAACAAAATAGGAGATGCTTTGTGTCTTTTGATTTGATTGTAATAACATAGGGAGTTTTAGTTGGTATCACAAAGATTTTTTTTTTTTTTCATCCTTTGGTTTCTTCATGTAATGAAAGATTATGTGAGTTGGCTCACAGAATATTTTCAGCTTTTCTCATTCTTGGCATTTCATGAAAGCCACCTGGCCGTGATCTGTTCAGCACTGGCCCAGTCATTACTTACATAACACTTGCATACCATAATTCACCATGCTGGGTGCTTAAAACCTGTGTGATGTAGAAACTTCCTTCAGTGGTGGTGAGTGGTTAAAACTGTCATGTTCGTGTTGCAAATTTGTAACTGTTAATTGTTCTTTTAGGACGTTGTTTGTCTGTTTTTCCCTTAACCTTCTCCCCTTAGATATTTTTCTTCATGAAGACCTCACAGTAAAAATAGGTGATTTTGGTCTAGCTACAGTGAAATCACGATGGAGTGGATCCCAACAGTTTGAACAGTTGTCTGGTTCCATTCTATGGATGGTAAGCAAGGGGGAAGTGGTGAGCTTGTTTCAACAAATTTATTGACCTTTGGCCAAACTTCCTGCTCCTATTCCTCTGGCACACTGACATATAAAAGCTGGCTTAAGCTGGAAAAGACAAGCAGTAATAGGAAGTAGTAAATGAATGTTTTTCAATTCTTCTTTAAGCATGTGTTTTCCAGTAGTCAGCAGAAGAACTTTAGTGTCTCCATCTTTTATTCTGAGGTTTATACTGAAATGAAAATGGTGGCTAAGGAAAATGAGTATCATTAATCTAGGGTTGAGGAGAGTGAGAGAAAAGTCTTGCAAAACGTCCTGCAAAAGAGTAGAGGAACTAGCTCAGCAAAAAGTAAGAGGCTCTTAAGTTTTAAGGATTCAAGAGGAGTTGCTTCATACTGCAATCTCCTGTGCAGCTCCACTTCCCTCTTTTCTCCCTGGAAAAACTTAAAGCTCTGTTAGTTGCCATCATTTTCAGTGTCATTAGAATACTAGTTTCCAAAAACCTTCTCAGCCTGGCCAAGGTCACTTTTCACTGTCAGAGGAATGAAAGGGATCACCAGGCTGGAATGAAGCAATGAATTTTGAGATTCATGTCAGCACCCACTCTGTATTAGGACCCAGTAACACCTGAAGGCAAGAGTGGGCTTTGCACCTGTACCCTGGACAAGTGCATGTTTTGTTCCTGGTAGGTGAGGTGCAGCACAATGTAGAGAAATAAAAACTAATTCTTGACTTTTCTGATGCAGGCACCAGAAGTTATTAGGATGCAAGATAAAAACCCATATAGTTTTCAGTCGGATGTGTATGCATTTGGGATTGTTCTCTATGAATTGATGACTGGACAGTTGCCATACTCCAACATCAACAACAGGGACCAGGTAAGGGGAGGCACTGACTGCAATCAAGTGTGGTCTGAAACAGAGATTGATCCAGCCTTGGCTGCTGAACTTTCTGATGTTCTGTGTGTTTGATGTTTCTAATTCTGATGCTGTGAGATGACATTTCTGCATATTCTAGATCTGCCTCAGCCACATAGGAACAATTTACTTAGTTCTCTTGAGGTATTTTTTTTGTGTCCTTTTTATTTTAAATATAGATTTTCAGCTTCTGAACTGGTTGCCAGGATACTTATTAGGGAGAGAGCAGATTACTTAATAGTAATCTAGTTTAGAATAGTTCTGCAAAGGCGAAATGATCCCCCATATATATGTTCAGTTATTATTCTCGTTGTCCCCATCCCTCCACTTGAAGTGAATAATAAATAGTGTATCTACAGGACTGACAAAACAGAAGAGCAGTCATCTCACCAAATGTTTTATATTCATTTCTACTTTGAGAGAGCATGCACCATCTAACTGACTTGCAGGATATAGCATTTCTGAAATCCTGCTTGATGGACTATATAACTTTACAGAGTCTGGGGATCCTGTAAGAAGATTAGTTAATTGTGAAAAAATATTCCTTAAATCTTAATGATCCCACACACCATAACATACCTCCCCAGCATAGGCACGTTTGGGAAGGTATACATGATTTACATGATTCATTATTTCTGGCTAACCTGAAAATAGGACCTGTGCATCAAGAACTTCAGTGTAAACTCATCTGTGTCTGAGCAGTGATGTATTTGTTACTTCTGTGTCCTCATCCCTTGTTTTTTCACTGTCAGTACTTGAGAATTGAAACCATAGCAACGTTCATCTGTGAATGCCATTTTATAAGGCTGCTTCCATATCTGCCAGAACACTTCATCCCAATTCATCAAATTTGGAGTGACTCCTTTTTAGATTTTTTTTTTTCTTTTTTATAATTTTGGTTTTGCCTTTTGGAGGAAGGGAAATACCTGGATTCCTGGCCAGATGGATCCAGCTTTCTAAAAACAGTATTTGGCCCCGTTTAGCTTTTACCTTTTGAGATCTGAAAGATGAGCCTAGTGCTGTGGGAACTTATAATGAAGTGGTGAAATAAATTTTAAAATGCAAGTGAAGCCAACATGTGTGATTTGATGTCTTGAGTTTTGTCACTCCTTGTCTATTATATGAAAAGTTGTAAATATTCTTCACTCTCTGGTGAATTTACATCATCTACTATGACACAACCCAGATTCTTAGTGAGCATTCTTGTTATACCTGAGTGTTTCTCTCACTTCAACAGATTTTTCTAGACTGTTATTGTAGTGATACTCTTTTCTCTAGTCTAAAATAAAAGATTAGCCCCTATATTATTTGTAAAGAAACTATTTGAAACATTTATAATAATGAATTTTGAATAATTTTAACTTGTGCCATTATTTAGAAAATACTAACTGCTAGATGATGGTAAGTCTGATTGCAGCAGAGGTAAGGAATGCACTACACAAGTCTCTACTAGGAAATCCTGCTCTGGCACATGGGGAATTCTAAAGAAACCATATGGGAGTTTTCTGTTCCTCCTTGCTGCCAACACAGATGTGACTGAAGCAGAAAGTTAAAAAAGGACCAGGATTGTGTTAGTATAAATAACATGTATAACATGCTTGAGATGGGAGGGTTTTCTGCTGGATTTTTTTCCCAGTATTAAGCTATGAAATAGTTACATTTCATTAGAGGGAAGGTGAGATACACCTGCTGGGTTGTGTGAGTACTCAGCAAAGGCAGTGATTACTGCTGCAGCATGAATGGATCTTTGATTAGCTGGTTTGGAAGTGCTTTTTAGTGTCAGTGCCACTGCAGTACTCAAACCACATTGCAATTGACCTTGGCTCGACATGATGATGTTTGATGGTTTTTTATATATATACAAGAGATGATTAACCATATTTGTGTTTTGTTTTGCTGCTTCCTCTCAGTTTACTTTGTTTTATGCTTAAGTTTTATCCTTAGGGGAAATAGAAGCCTTCCATGTTGAAAGAATTACTGTAAAAATACCAAGCCTGTCTGTCTCCTCTACTACAGAGAAGAGGCAGTTTCTCTTTTTCTTTTGAGGATTTTTTCTTTCTTTTTTGTGAGAGTGGGGGAGGTGGTCAGATGTTAAGAATAAGCTTTTGTGTTGGAAAAGTAGATGATGGAATCAGTTCTCAGAAGGTGAAAGGTTTTAATATCCAAAGTCCATGTGTTTCTTAAAATACCTTTCAATGTGAATTTGTTGATTTGTAATATAAAACAGAATATTTCTTTTTACAGAATATTTATTTTTAGACATTCTGTTCCTGCCACAGAGTTTCTTGTTCTTGATTTTGTCAGTTTTTGACACCAAAGAACCATTCCTTAGATGGTTATTGCTATAAATGGTAACCATTTACTAGTGTTCAAGTTTCACAGAAATCTCTCTGAGGAGGAGGAAAGATCTAATTTTTTCCCTGTACTGAATAGGTTAGCAAGCATTACTCTAAGAAATTTGTCAATTTTAATACCAGATAATGCTTTCTGGGAGCAGAAAGCTTGCTGCTGCAACCAAAATAGTCTAGCAAAATGTTCACCTTTTGTTACTGTTTATTTTATCAACTCAACTTCTTCCTCTTTCATCCTTTTTCCCCTTAAATAAAGATAATTTTCATGGTGGGACGAGGATACCTATCTCCAGACCTCAGCAAAGTACGGAGCAACTGTCCAAAAGCTATGAAGAGACTAATGGCAGAATGCTTAAAAAAGAAAAGAGATGAGAGACCCCTTTTTCCACAGGTGAGAAATGCTCCTCCTTAGCTCTCAGCAGACTTTACAATTCAAAGTTGTGAACTCACTGGCCAGTTCCAAATTTTTTTTCATTAGTGCTGTGGCAGGATTTCATAAGAGACCTGGTTCTGTTTAATTAGAAATGCTAATTTTAATTTCAAAATGCAGGTATTAAAATGACCTATTATATGCAAAGTTGTAAATACTTTAAAACAGTTCCAACTAAAAAAGTTGTAAACACTGTGTATTTGGAAAAGTATTTACATGATGGAGAAAGTTGCAGCTGGGAGATAATGAAAGTAATAGTCACAATTAGACACACAAATTAGTTTTTGGTATATGTGCTCAGAAATGTTTACACTGCCCTCCTTGCTCTCCCTCAAGCTTCATGAAGGGAAATGGATAATTTTGCCACAGAACTTGATTTTTTATTTTGTGCCTGCTGAGGAAGGTTTGGGTTCAAAAAGCTTGAAAGGGAGGAGGGCAAAAATCTGTTGGGTTTTTTTTTTCTTTTTTTCCTGTTTTGAATGTAACCAAATCGTTTCCAAAAGATAAGGAGCTCCCCCTGCTGACTTTTTGCTAAATTTTATTAAGCAAAATGCTGACAGAGCTGGGTTGGTTTGTAGCAATGGCAGGTATAGGTACTAGGGCATAGACAAGGAGCCCAATAAAAAGCAAGTGTTTTCACTGTGCTTAGAGGGAATCAATGTGCCTTTAAAAAGGAGGAAATTCCCCAATTGTCCTTTTCACCTTCCTTAGGATATAAACACCAAGAATGCAATACACTGAGCTATATTTTAAAAGTCCTTTTTTTAACATGTGTTTAAATATTTTTCTGTAGTTAATTGATATTGTGCCTTTGGTTTTAAGAGAGAGAATTCCAGCTTTGGAACAACAGGTTTGATCAAATATTTTCTATGTTTTAGATTCTTGCCTCCATTGAGCTTCTGGCCCGGTCATTGCCAAAAATTCACCGCAGTGCATCTGAGCCCTCGTTGAACCGGGCTGGCTTCCAGACAGAGGATTTTAGTCTTTATGCTTGTGCTTCTCCAAAAACACCCATCCAAGCAGGGGGATACGGTGGGTTTCCAGTGCACTGAAACAGAATGTGAAAGCCTGTGCCTGTGTGTCTGTGTGCTGGTGTGTCCTGTGAGTGCAAGGGGTTTGTTCTCAGTTCCTACCAGCTCCGACTGTAGGGTTTGCTGAGGGAACAAAGCCTCACTTCCTAACACTGGGCATTGAATGTTCCCAGCACAGTCTGTGTTGGTGACAGTGCCCTGGGAACAGCTGGCACAAGAAGAGCTGTAATGCCACGTAAGAGACATGGGAAAAGTCACTTCAAAACAAGCAAAAATCTTCTTAAGGTTATCGAGTGTCATTTTTGCCTGGTTTGATTGGAGTTAGTTACTCAGGAGTGTATTTGATTTGAATCTACTCAAGCTGTGGTGGTCTGTTGTTTTGGGGGTTGGGGGTTTTTTACTTCATTTGAGGTCATTATATTTGAGCAATAAGCTTTAGAGTCTTCGTTTAGTAATGCTATTCATGTGGGAAACACTTGGAAAAATGAACTTAGCTTCAAGGCTGAACACAGTCAAAACTTTATTGTGGTCAGCAGAAGTGAGCAGATACAACACAGAATCCAAAGAAAGCCCTGACTGAATAACATGTGACTCTCATCTTAGAAGTGGAAGTTTCAATTAGTACAATTTAGGCAACATCTCTTCCTGCAGAAGAGTGGTGAATGGGTTGGGGTTATTTTATGTTACATTTTTTCTCTAAATATTCTGACCTGATATAGTTTACACCATCTCCAAATGTTCTGTTACAATGCAACACAGAAGAAATTCTCAATCTGCTTTTGCCAAGCTGCAAGGCTAGTACTGGTAATGGTGCCTGTATCCTTCAGTTAGTACAGATTTCAACATTTATAAAAGCATTTTAAATCTCAAGCATGACCAAATGCTTTCAGAGGAAAAATGCTGCTAACACCCATAATAGGAAAAGAAGATTTGAAAAAGCAGTTTTGTTCATGGAAATCAGTGTTATTCCACGAATTTTGTTAAGATGAAAGATGTTAATTATTTTAATATTGTTAAAACGCACTGAACATGCTTCTCTTCAGTGACAAATTGATTTTTTTACTTCCATGTAAAAGCTGCTAGTTTGACTTGGCAGAAGTGAATCAGTTGGACTTGATATCTAACTGAGAAAGTTTGACACCTTACCTGCCAGCTCACTTTGGAGACTGTATTTTTCTCTGGAGCATTGCTCTGGAACAAGTGCATCAGAGTAGTGGTTCAGGTTATATCAGTCTTTAATGTCAGATGTGAAAAAAAGAAGTGCAGACAGTGTTCTTGCATGTTATGAGATGAGTTATGTAGTTTTACTTGGTTTAAACTGCTGAACTGTGAGTTTTCACAGATGACTCTGCATTGAAAAGAAGCTATTGCTGCTCTTGTTAGGACTTCAAGGGCCAGAAGTGTTCCAAGGCTTCTGATTTACACACACACAGAGAAGTTTGCCTGTTGCTAGCAATACGTTTCTGAAATAGATCAGGAATTCCAAAATGTTTTGGTTTACTGCTGTCTGGCAACTGAGCCTTTTAAAATGGGAAGCAGAGAGCTTGAAGAGATGTAGGCAACTTTTACATTTTCTGGATGGATTATAATGGTCTCTTTGGCTTCTGCTGTTGGAATAGTTTGGGAACTAACTTTTCTCCTTTTCTTAGCTAAGAAAATTTAGCTGTTGAAGTCTCTGTCTATGGAAATAGTTAAAGAGGACAGAAGTTGTTACTGTTTTAGAAAATCTGTTCCCCATCTTCCTGGTAGCATCACCTCATTTTGGCAGGCTTATCCTGAAATGAAAACAGAGCTTAAGTGTTATTTTCCCCTCTCATTCTTTATTTTGTGTATCTGTTCTAGCAGTGATGAGGAATGTTTCCAAAGCTGTGGGGTATGGTATTCAGTACAGAGCAAAGAGGATGCTACTGGGTCTCCTTCAGAACCTAGAAATGGGGCATCCCACACAGAAAAGTCTTACCCACACAGGGAGTTGCAGAGAATGCAGAATTATCACCATTGCCCTGCCCAGGCTTATTCTTGTTCAGGTCTGCCAGATCAATTCAAACCAGTTATTCCTTGGAGTTATTTATCCTCCTTCTTAAGATTTTTCATCTGTGTTGTCAGAGCTACAATTATAGGGGGGAAGTGCTGCCATCCTTAGACACATTTGGCCCCATTTCCTGCTGTAAGGTCAGTGCATTCTTCCTGTGTCACCTGTTTTTATTATTTTGTGTTCCATGGCCATAATGTGATTTTAGTTTCTCACTAAACTTTTTATGAAGCCTAAAAGGAGGCTACTTTGTGGATCATTAACTTTGTCTGACAGAGAGGCATTTAGAGGTTTCATTTCTGTAAGTTCTAATTGCTGCTTCAATGAGATTTGGGAGTACCTGTGGGATAAAGGTGCCTAACTACACCTGTGGATTTGGGCCAGAGTTCTCAAAGGTGCAACTCAGCTATACTGTTTAGAAACAGATACCTGTTGGCTCTGAAAACATGCCTGTGGGACCCTAGGTTTATCTGGAGGAGTAATTTATACTAGGTGAGATACCTTTTTATTTTACTTCCCTACGTATCAGTACAGAAACCAAGTCTGTCTTGGTCCTTTCAAGGTCCTTTGTCCTTGCTTCCAAATTTTTACTTACCCAGTGGATAGTATCCACACAAAAGATCAGCACAAGATCCAACAGAAAACTACCTCTTTTTTTAGTTTGTTTTTTCTATGTCTGTGAATGTAAACCAGGCAAGGTGTTGGAATCTGATGCTTCCCTACAATAAATCAGTCAATAGATTCAGTAGATAAGGCTGGCACAGGGCTGGAAGAGAACCATTCTTCTTATGATTCTTCTGACAAACATGGCCTCTACCCCAGGATAAGGAGAGCAGATAAGATGATATGTGTATACATTAGTAACCTCATGAATTCAGGTAGTTTACAAACTGGTGAGAGTACAGAATGGTAGCTGCATCTTAAATCCGTCCAGGAATCGGGGGCAGCAGGTTCACTCAGAACATGCCCTTATTTTATTGCATTGTTTGGAGGCAACATCAAAGATCTTGATCATCTTTTTAGTCCAGATTTTTTTGAAAGTGTGCATTTAAAATAGTTTCCACTTGCTCTGCATGAGATGAGCATGAAAAGGCTGTAGTAGCTGACTTGAGAGGGGTTTTTAACAAGAGTGTATTTTCAGATGCTCTCCATCCTTTGGAAGGAAATGGCTTTGCTACCAGTCAAAGCAAATATCTGCAGTTCTGCTTGATAAAAAGCACCTCAGATGCATGGCTCACAATGAATATAAATATCTGGGGTTTTTTATTGTAGCAAGTTGCTAAGCATGTGGTTTCATAGCTTGATGTGGATAGGTACCTATACCTAGGGAAAGCTGTTACTGGCAATTGTTTTATACATGTTCAACCAACATAATCCCCTTATTAGATGGCCATGTTACCTATTTTGGTCTCCTATTGATTTGAGATCAGATTAATACTGGAATTTTGAAGGGGGAGATTGAGCATTAGCTTGTCAAAGAAAATATGTTTGCTAAGGTTTTGTTTAAATGTCAGGGAAGTCTGAAAATTATCTTTTTAAGGCTATCATTCTAGCTCTTTATTTCTGGTCCTGTTTTTCCATTGCTCTTTGCCAATTAAAGATGCTGGTTTTTTATGAAATCCCTATATGACTATTAAAATCTGAATTATTACCAGAAGTAGGCAGAAGGACAAGATGAGTAATGAAGGAGCAATCTCTTTTTTATAAATTGATCTTTAATCACCAGTTTAGAAAGGCAGACTGAAAAATAAATTAAATAGATCATATTTTGAAAGTGTAGCTAAGCATAAATGTCACTTAAAAATTGGCCTCACAGGCAATACTTGGTGACTTTTTTGTCTTTCTCTTAAAAGAAAACATGTATTAAACTTGAGATGTTTCTAGAAGATACTATGAAGAGAGTTGGGAGGTCAGTGAATGTAGCAGAAAAAAACAAGAAAAAATTACCCAATATTTAGAGTATTTAGAGCAAGAGTTTCATCTGGTGGTAGAACTAGTAAAATATGCAATTAGATCCATCATGAAGCTTTTATTCTCTTGTTGTTATAACTGAAGCCTGCCACCACAGTCTGTAAAGATAAAGAGCTTGAGGCCTGTCATAACTCCCTGTGCCACCATTACTTTGGGTTTCTGGTGTATTCTTTTCTCATTTCCTACAAGACACAGAGCCCTTTCCCTGCTTTCTTCAAATTCCCTTAGAACTGGGTCAGCTCTTCCTCACAGGCCTTTAGATGCTTTTTCTTCCCCCTCCTAGTGCAGACAACTTCTTGGTTCTCCTCTTTGTAGAGCAAGACATTGCATAGAATTAAAGCTATAAGCCTAGAATTCTGTTTGCATGGCTGTTTCTGTTTTGTTTCTAGTGTTCAGAATAAGAATCTTGAGGAAAAAACAAAGCCAGCAATACAGACACTCTGTAAAAGATGGAAGGACACCAGATAGGGAGCAGTTGTTTGAATGTTATGGCATTCAAAACACTTCTGTTAAACAGAACAAAGGCTCTCTTGTGCCTGCTTATCACTCTTTCAGTATTAGGAGAGCTCTGAGAAGTGCTGTCAAGAAAGTGGCATAAACTAACTGAAAATGTGTATGAAACCCAACATGAGGAAGTTACATGTGTGTTTTTTTTCTCTTTCTCCTGAATCCTTTTGATTATGCTTAGTTGGACATCCCTCACTAAAAATCCTCTGGAATACTTTTTTTTTTTTGTGGGTGGCAGGGAATTTTTTTTTCTGCTAAAGTATAGGATTAAGAGGATTAATATCTTAGACTCAGCTTCTATTCAGTCTTCACTCAAACTCCTGAAAGAATTTGGGCAGCAATTTTACTCTGTGCCATAGTTGCATCCCCTCAGAAGTGGGACTACAAGTCTGTCTCACAGCATGGTGACACTAAATAAATTATGTAGGATTTCAGGATATCATCACATGTGAAAACTCTGCATATAATTATTCTTTATTTGTAATTCTGAAGGAAGCATGGAGTTGCTTTATTTGTAATGCATCCTGTTAGTGAGGCTTAGTTTCTGGTCTGGGATTAAGTAGACAATCTCTCCATTCTTATATTTCTGTCAGTGGGTTGCTGTGTTGATCTCTAAACCAAATCCTAGCACTCTGTAACACTGGTTTTCTATTCAGGCACTTTACTGTATATAGTCTTTAAAGGGTAATGGATGTCTCATATAGTTCCTTGTTATTATTTAAAACAGAACAGAACTGTTTTGCAGTTGGATGCATTTATTGAAACTGGTGCTTCTCAGGAGGACATATGTGCAATAAGGAATTTAAAGTAAAATTAAGCTGACACATTTAATTTTCAAATGCATGATGAATTAAACTTTGCTTGAACTTTCACCTTCTTGGGAAGAATGGGTACGGCTTGCTTTCAAGAATTCCTTTGTTGGTTAAATATGCTGGGTCTGTATTCAATGTTCTCTCACTGTGTATTCTCTTGTGCTTTAATTTTAACAGTTTGCATTTTTTAACATCTTTTATATTCAGCCTGATGTTCAACTAGTCTAGTAACTGAAATCACCTTTTTAAACCAAGCTCTTGTCCTCCCTCTACAGGAGAATTTGCAGCGTTCAAGTAGCCACAGCACCATGGCAGCACCCACTCTGTTATTTAAGTCTTGTGTTCCTACAGTTTCTTAACATCAAAACTCCATTCTGCTCCACGAAACCTAAAGTAATCTAGAAAAGATATCCATAAGCTCAAAATGTGGAGCAGAATGGAACCACCAGTCCAACACAATGGGAAAAAAAGTACCTTTTTGGGAACCAGAATCCTCTGCTGCCAGTGTTTCTCCTTCAACACAAACCACCACGTGCATTTGGAGACCTGCAGTGGCTGCCTGTGCCGTTGGCATCATTCCCAGGAGAGAGGAGAGGGCGCTCGTGGTGTGCCTGTGGTGCTGGGGGATGGAGCTGCTGCTGCTGCAATTAAGGAGATTTGCTTTGGATGGTCTGCCAGCCGGCTTCCTCCCTCTAACAGCGTAACCATCAGAGGCTGAACGTCTGATGAGTGCTCATTTCAATCAGTCATTCTCCATTCTGATCCTTCCTTTTTCCTGGTGTACTTATGGGCAACGCAGTATCCCCTTTTCACTGTATTGCAGCGTCAGACACCTCAAGCTGTCTGTATTGCTGGGGTTTATTCCTTTAAAATTAAACGTGGGGGGCAGTGGGAGCTGGATGTGTTATTCTGAAAGCAGAGAGGTTCATCTGAAGGAAAAGGGGATGCTGCCACACCTTTTTTTCAGATTTACTTTACCACTTAAAAAGAACAAACAACAACCACCATCCTTAACCTTCTTCCTTTTCCAGTATTTTCTTGGTGTGTGCATATACAACATCTTTTTGAAGGATTAGGTCAATCCTTCTTTTGTTGGTCCAGCAACAAACTGAAGTTTAAAAAAAAATGTAGCGAGATTGTCCTCTCTTTTATTTTTTTTGTATCATATGATACAATGTATTTATCAAAGATGCTACTGCAGCATCTAAAGTCTGTAGAAATCCTGATACAGACTATGAATGGTGTATGTACCTACTTTAAAAGTTTTATTTTAAATGAGGGTGCAGGTTAATGCCAGGTACCTTACCAATATGTAATGCTTTCATAAATGAGGAAAAAAGTTCTCAGGTTGAATTGAATACAAATACAATCCCCCCCTAGAATTAGACATTCCAAACAATTATGTTTTGGTACTTTCAAGAGCTTTTTTTAAAGGACTTTTATCCTGTTAACTAAACGTCCTCTGATAAGTGTGTGTGTAAATGTGGAGCATCTTGTCCTAATGGCAAGTTGTTAGATCAAAACAAAACGGTACTTGCTGGATCCACGCTGACTACTCCTCCTCTCATTGCTTTCCTTCCTGTCATTTCTTCCCCTCTGTTTGTCTTTCCCTTCTGTACACTTTGCAAACTGGGATGAAGGTGGCGGTATTTCCATTAGAGTGCTTTGTTTTCCTGTCCTCCAGTCCTGGTTTTCAAATGATTAGTAGCTTTTTTTTTTCCCAGTCAGGGAAAACAACTCATCAAGTTCTGCACATCATTTACCTCTAGCAGAATATCTCGTGATGTGATCTGCTTGCAGAGTTCTCTGGTATGTGGTATTACGTGTAAATTATTTGTACAGAGGCAAGGCAGACCACACTGGAAAGAAACTCAAGCTCAGACAGAAGTTTCCAGAATTTGATTTGTATCAGCCCTGTACCACTCCAGGTGAGGCAGGAGAACCGACCCCCCCTTTAGCAGGGAGGTTCTTGGTGGGAGAAGGTGGGAGTGCTTAACAAAATCATGACAAATAAATGAAGGAGTTAAATGTGTGTGAATGTGCTGTCCATTCTAAATGTGGATGTACCGAGTGAGGGTGCTGTCCTTCCCTCCCTAGGGAAAGTTGGACTGCTCCTGTCTGCAGAAGGTTGCTCCCAGATGAAGGGAGAAAAGCACATGGGAAGTAGAAGTTGCTTTTAATAGCCTGGAATTTTGCAGTGTTGCTGGTGGTCTGTTACGTTTGTCAGTAAATACTTACTGGGACTATAGGGACTGGACTGATCTGAAGTGGGAATTAAAACTGAAATACTGTGTATTCATATTAATTCCACAAACATTAGCAAGATAGCAATAGTGAATGACTTAATAGTCACTACAAGAATGAAATGATTCATGTTGGTACATGAACAGAATTGATTTTGTGTACAGGACACATTTTAAAAACGAAGGAAAAAAAAAAAGCACAATTTTTTTTCTTGTCTGCTGTGGGTCTTCAGATGCTGTAAGGTTTTTTCCTTAGTGAGATTGGCAGGAATTTTAAAAGTAGCAATAGCCACTTTCCAGTGTGGAGAAGCTGATGCAGAGCAGTGGTGTGCAGATGGTGCAGTCGAAGTTCTCCCTGGTGATCATCTGAGGCCAGTACCTGAGAGCTGCAGGGAGCCTGGGGCTGTGGTGGCAGCAGGCAGGGGAGAGCATGTACCAGATCCAGGCTCCCAGAGGGGCAAGGAGTCACTGCTGCTCCTTTCAGCCTGTGCTTGGCTCCAGTCCCTTCATGGGCTGTGGCCCCATTTGTGCATGTCAGGGATACTGAGGTCAAGGTTCTCTCAAAAGAAGCTGTTAACAGAGCAAGTATGGACAGGTGGTTCAACACTCATTTGTTTCACAGAGCTTGTTAAAAGCTCTCATTTCCTTCCACAAAGTCATGCTGGCCGAAGATTCTCTGTTAGGAACTTCATTCTTTCTGTCTTTGCTTAAAATGAACTTACTTTGGTGAAGATTCATTACCCAGTAGTCTACAATATGCTTCTTGAGCCCATAGGAAAAGCACAAGGAAAATTGCTATCCTTGTCCATGCAAAGCACTTTATAAGTAACACATGATCTCTGGGGGTTTTTTTATTGGGGTTTGTTTGTTTGTTTGTAGTTTTGTTTTTCTTTTTTGTTTCTGGTTTTATTTTTTTTCCCTGAGGAATGTGCAAGTTGTTTGGCTGCTGTTTAGAGAAGTCCTTTCAGGATGCATTTCTACTGGTTTTCTTGTTTGTTTCCTTCCAAATAGCTGTAGTAATGTGTGTTTGTCTGTAAGAGTTCCCAGGTAATGCTCATGCAAAACTTTGGAAGAAATGTGGTTTGTAAATAATTGGGATTATTTTTGGTTTTATCTTTTCCTTCCAGGAGTTGTTCTGGTTGTCTTGCATGCCATCAGAACCAGTCTTAAAGATGCCCTGTAGATGTTTAGTGAGTGGGGAAACAAGAATAGATGAGAAACGAGTGCTCTCTGTAGCAATGGGATGAAGGAAGTAAACTGAAATGACCAATACATTCATGCCATGTTACCCCAAATTCCTTAAGCTTCTTTGTGGTGTCCCAACCACAGGCACATGCCATGGTATGGAAATGTGAGTACATACTTCATGTGCACACGTTGGGACCAATACCTAGAGAGTCATGCTGCTTCTTTTAGTAGTATCTTGTATTTCATAATCGTTTGCAAAAGTACCAGGATCCAGGCCCAGTTGTTCATGTCTTTATCAACCAGGCACAAATCTTCCCCTCTGCCTTTCCTTTTCCATACAGGTAACAGAGGTCTGTAGGTCTGTTTCCTGTTACACCTTCCTGCTCCCTCTGATTGTTTCCCCTGGCATATTTGCCAGAACTGCAACACTGTGGTGGAGCTCAAACCAAATGGCAGGAATGTAGAGGCCAGGTCACATTGAAAGTAATTTCTCTGTTAGTTGAGTCCTACATAGCCCCAGATACAGTTAGCCCAGTCTTTTTTTTAATTTTTTTTTTTTTTGCTAAACTCATGCAGGTCATTAAATTAATCCACTTCTGCTTTTTATGCATACCCAAAATCATCTTTTCTTGTACTTGAATGCTCTAGCAACTGATGATGATGCAGAATGTTTGAGAACAAATACTGCCATTTTACCATGGTGTCTTAGCATCACTTGGATTAGTTTGTGCTCGTTAGAGGCAGAATTTGGCCTTTGTGATGTAAAATGAGTGAAATTCTAATTGTTGATAAATATGTCTTTCCATAAATGCCCAAACTGGGGGAAAAAGTACCCTGAAGATCAGACATAAATA